AATTCTGAAATGAAAGCTCCGCCTGGTCCCTGCAGACCTGCCATGGTTTCAGTAGGGCCTCTTGTCACCAGCTTTGCAATCATGTTTTTCAGCCTCTAATTCCAGAGAAATCTCGACTTCCTTGTACTCAGGTCAGAAGACATTTGCTATTCAGGATTCTGATGCAGAGGTCTGATAAGAGAGGCCTCAGGCCTTATGAGTTAGTAAAACCAACAGAGTCTGGAGCTTGAAAAAAATCCAAGAAGCACAAGACAGCCACACCCTGAGAGGTGGCACAGTGCCAGCTCCTATCACATGAAATCTTCCAGGATATTTAGACATGGTGTCAGTGAGTTTTCATTACTTTGGTGGTTGCGTTTGGTTTTGTTTGCTTGCTTTTGGAAACAAAGGTTTCCAGGAGCACCAACACAGTCGGCCCTGTGTTCTATTGATAAGATGAGAGAGCATAACAGCAGGGGCAGAGTTCAGCTTTGGGAGGTGGGGGCTAGGAAGCCTCTCTGCGGAGGTAGAGTTCACGTAAAGCCAAGAACGGTGCTTCTCACATTTTAACCCACATCACAGCCACCTGGAGGGTTTGTTAAAGCAGGTTTCAAGGTCTCACTCCCAATGTCTGAGGTGAGCCCCAAGAATTTGTGTCTCCAAATTCCAAGTGACACTGCTATTTGGACAAGTGAGGCTGCTATTTGGAAACCGCACTTGAAGAACTACTGGCCTAAAGGGCAAGTAGGAAGTAGCCAGAAAAAGAGCGTAGGGGAGAAGGTGAGAGCAGACAGCAGCAGGAGCACGCGCGAACACCCGGACTGAGGAGTTCGGTAGCTGCAGGGAATGGCAAGATCAGCATGTCTGCGAATTGGCAGCCCTGTGGCTTGCGGTAATGTGAGAGATACACCTGACCTCATCCTCGTCCTGAATCTCACTCCAACGAAGCCACCTCCAGTTGTAGTGTGTCCAAGAATGCTTCCACTGACCCCTGGTGATGTTGTGCTGCAGCATGGAGTGATAAAACTGTGCTGACCGCATGGATAGTGTGAGTGCTGAAAGTGATTAGGTTTGCAAAGGGCTGAGTGCAGAGTAAATGCTCACTGCACTGTAGCTTCCTCTCCTTCCTGACTTGAAACACCGCTCTATCTCAAGTTCCCTATTTTATCTATTATACGAGGACATGTTCCTGAATTGGTGCCAAAGTGCTGTCCTGCACCTGCAAGCAAAAAGGGTTAATGTGGAGGTCACCCTGGTACCTGAACTGGGATCTTGTTGAGTAAATGGCTATAGCTAAGAAAATTGGATACCATTTCCTAAGAGCAGTTTTGTGCATGTATGTGTTTTCCTCCGTCATACCCGATTGATAAATGTCACAGAGTTTTAAACCAACGGAAGCATGGGTTAGGTGTTTGGAGCGAGAGTGCGCAATTGGCTTTAGACCATTTCCTTTCAGACTGCATTTAAAGAGCATGTACTTTGTGCCAGGTGCTATGTTAAGTTTGGGAAGACAAAAGTGAACAAGACTGGGTCCCTTCTCCTAAGGAGCTCATGGTCTCACTGGAAGCTGGACACATAGTTAACCACAGAGCCGTGGGTTAAAAGCCACAAAAAAGTCTATACAGAGGGCAAGAAAAGCTCAGGAGGGGGAGCAGGTCTGTCTGAGGACATCAGAGAAGGTCACAGTTAGAAAGTGACATCTGAGCCAAGACTGGAAAGGAAACTTCTAGACAATAAGCAGGACTGAGGATAAATGAACACATCTCCTTTAAGAACTTTCTTGTTATTGTTTTAAGCTCTGAACTAAATCATCGTTATGAGTTTCTAGGAGATACATGGCCACATGGTGTTGAATTTGATTTAAAATATTGCATAAGCCGATATATATAGAAACACATATGGAAACAATCTGAAAATATTTCTCCTTAAATATAGTGCCATTTGCTTTTACGAATTTGCTATTTCTAGATAAATATGTGAAATATGGTTTGGTCTTCTGCGACTCAGAAGAAATTATGTCACTGTCCTAAGAAAAAATGTTTGGTTGCTAATTCATTCATTCAGTCAGTCAACAAACATTTAGTTTGAAATTTCAATTTTTAAAGCACTGCAATAGTCCATCAGGATAAACAAAAAAATGTGAGACATTGTCCTGACGTCAGGACTCTTCAAAGCTTGGGAGTGAGAAAAACACCTGAACACAATTCTAACACAGATCGGCAGTACATGATCTGGGTGAGTACAAACAAAATGCTCCAAGTATCTAGAGGAAAACAAGCATTTTCTGATTGAAATAATCATAGAAAGCTTGATCATTTGCGAAGGAGAATCCATTTGCATAGTTCTTGTCGCATGGAAAGGGATTGAACTTAACAGAAACAAGCTTTGGGGAGATATTCTAGGCAGATGGAAGTTTGTGAACAAAACCGATGGGAAACCTGAGGTCACTTGGAAATGGCACTTTGTCCTATTTAGGTGTGTGACTTGGGACAGACCTGAAATAGATGGATGTCCGTCTCACAGCATAGTTTGAACTTCATTCCACCGGCTGTGGCTTCTTGGAATTTGAAATGCCAAGCATTTGTCACTTGGTTCCTTGTACACTTGTTTCAGTTGTCACCTCAGGCTTGACCTTAATGCTGGCATAATTCTGTCCAGCCCATAGGAGAATTTTAAAAATATCGGTCTGTGTATGCTGGGAGTGGTAAAATCACAATGCAGCTCTAAAGGCCACAGACTAAAAGTTGATCCTTTTCTTCAGGAATTTATGATTCCACATCTGGAGGTGGCAAGAGATAGGTTTTGTGTCCAAGTCCCTTGAGGAAACAGGTGAAGGCTTATTTACACAGGTGTGGGCAGGGTTAAAAAATGGTGCAGCGTCTGTGGGTTTGTGAGAGCCAAGAAGCTGTTTCCACCCCTAGGCAGGTGGTAATGGGGCAGAGGATGAAGCCGACATTGGAATTTGGAAAGACTTCTGGGTTGTCATGGAGGGATGCAGCGCCAGCCCCTGCTTCCCATCCTGTGCTGGTGCCTTTCATTGGCTGAACCTGACTGACTGGAGGCCAGGGGGCCAGGGACCCCTGATGAATTCCCCATAGGTCGGACTCCTAGGGCACACAAGGGGAAAATGATAGAGATGATCTGGAGGGGCAGACACAGCCTATCCAGCACAATCCTTTCTAGCTTTAGTATCTCTATGATGCCAAAACAACCCAAACTACAGTCAGCCCTCATTTGACAAGTATGTTCTAAACACCCAACTTGTTCTGAGCAATTTATTTATTAAGAAAAAAAAGATAGGGGATCGACTGGATGGATAGATGAATACGTGAATGGTGAAGGAGTCTCTAACTGAGACAATTCACAAAATAGTAACTCAACTAGACTGCAAGCTTGGTGAACACAGGGACTGGGCTGGGTTTGTTCATCGTTGACTCCTTAGTGGCCGGCACTGTGCCTGAACCTTAGTAGACCCACAATAAACATTTGTCTGAATAACTTGACTGATAAAACATCAAGAGCACCAAACAACATACAATATGCAATTGGAAGTCTTACGACAGGAGAAGTCAAAGTTAGCGTAAGGAGCTAACATTCTTGGACCTAGGAGAAGCAGATGATGACAGTGTTTGTTATTCTGCTCCTAGTAACTTTTAGACCAGAGCTTCTAAGCACCTCTCAGGGAAAAAAGAACATCTGATGGTGATGGAGAAATAACTGTCCCTCAATCATAACTTGTCGCTTTAAAAGAGCAACATTATAACACTTGCATCTGAACCTCAATTAATTCATCTATTTATCCAGTGAAAATTTATTGAGTACTGATTTTGTGCTTGGAGATTCAGAAATAAGACAGAAACAGCCTCAGCCCTGAAGGCGCTTAGTCTGGTCCGAACTAAAGATAAGACATTAGGAAATACCAGTACCAATGCTGACTAGGGGGAACACAGGCTGCTGTGGGAGCAACAGGAAACCTGGCAGAGGCAGTGGGTGTCGGAGTAGGCGAGTTGAGCATGGAAGGACTTTTCCACTCATTTACTTGTTTCTGTCTTCCATTCCTCCACCAGCCATTCGCCCCTCCACCATCATTACCCAAAAAGTATGTAAGTAAATGGTTTGTAATGCACATTTCTTTGATTTGGATATATGTTACACCAGAGTGCCATAACCCAGCCGATAAATATGTATATAGGGTAGAGTCCCATTAGCTAATCAGTGAATGCATGTAGAGGTGGTCCTATCAGCCAGTCAGTGAACACACGTGGAGGGTATGCTCCTTCCTTCAGAGTTTTTGGCAGAGAAAGAGAACAAGAGGTCAGGAAGCACAAAGTGGGTGTCTAGGTTGGACGGAGGAGCCAACAGGTACAGGAGTAGAGGCTGGAGATCCTGTAGACAAATCTGACTGAGGATGTTTTGGAGGATTAGTACTATTTACCTTTGACTCTTTGCAAACAAATGGAAAGTATGTGAGGAGGTTTATTTGTGCCTGTTTGTTTTTTGGCCTCTAACAACTGACTGTTGAGTAGAGATCTCAGAAAGTTACTGACCTGCATGGTCTATATTAACACTGATTCATATGACTTATGAAGGTGGTTGTTGGCTGATTTAAAAATATTGGCAATTTTGTTACAAAATTGCTTCATTCCCAGAGGTTTTGTTATTCAGGATAGTCATGTATTTAACTTGAATATTATGACTAGTAATGGGAGGAAAAAGCAATTTGGGAAGAAGAAACAAAGGGGAAGATAAAGAATAGCATGTGAGTCAAAATGGAAGGGCGAATATTTCCTAATTTATCTATATTGCCCTCTTTTTAAAATGTAAAGCCTACAAGAGTTGTGAGAATTTGCTGAAAATACATTTTAATTGTTAGTTACATTTGGGAAATTGAAGTCCTTGTTAATTTACTCCGTTTCTCTCCCCATCTCATTGTTCACAGGAAAGAAAAATGCTTCTAGCTCTAGAAAGTGTAACCAGGTTAAATGTTTGTGTGTTTGTGGGGTGGGGGATGAGTGGAGCATGCATTTTATTTTCTATAAGAGCAGAAGTAATATTCTTACAGAAACATTACTTATAGAAGCAGTTTTTAAGGCATTTTGACTTTTAGTGAATTTCTTTACTGTTAGCACATTCTGTCCTTGGCCTGGAAGAGTTATGCTGGGACCAACCACTGGCCTGAGAGCTGATTCTCTTACCTTCCGGCCATCTGCCTAAGTCTCCTTTGTCCTACTCTCTGTTCAACCCTTAAAGGTCAGTAGTCTGCTTTGAAGCTTAGTCTTTAGGTCCCTTTCTCAGAGCGTCCTCTCTTACCTATATACTGATGCTGACTGAATTTTCAGCTGTCACCCAAGCACTTCCCTTCACTTGCAGACCTGTGTTTCCTCTTATCTATTAGACATCCTTCCTGGGTGTCAACACACTCAAAACTTCTCCCTATCAGTGCTTGTTCTTGCCCACCCTGTCTCTGTTTTATGGGAGGTACCAGCCTCCCCACTCACAGCCACTGAGTCATCCACTCACATCCAATGTATATAATCAGTTACCAAGTCCTAGTGTACCCCTGAATGCCTTTTGTATTCTTGCATTTTTTTCCCATCCCCAAAGCCACTGCTTCATCAGCTCTTTCTGGATTATTATTGTTACTGATTATCTCTCTCTCCTCCACTGGTCTTCACTCTATGCTTCTCTCAACCACTGGGTTTTCATTTATACTGTACACATCTCCATGTCTATTCCTTGTGTCAGAGCTTTTAGGGGCTCTCCGTTTTCTAGCTCTTTATATCAGTAAACAAGTCATTGAAACAGCTTCATTCTCTCTGTGCAGGTTTTCCTCCTATGGCATGGGCCTCAGCTCCCTGGCCTCTGCTGGCATCTCCTTTGCTGCATGACCTTGAAGTTGGCAAGCCCAGAGTATGGTTCTCCACCCTCTTCTCCTTTCTGATGGCACCCTCCTCCCCACCACCATAGGTGACCTCATCCAGCCCCACCGCTCACAGTAGCATCTATACACTAATGACTCCCAAATTTATGGCTGTAGCCCTGACCTGTCTACTGAGCTCAGACGCATAGATCCAGCTGTCTCTTTGACATCTTCACTTGGGTGTCTAATAGATATTTTTATTTCGCAAGGCCAAAGCAGAACTCTTGATTTTCTACCCAGTCTTTTCCTGCTCCTTTCTCATATCTCAGAGAATGGTACTACTGCCCACCCATCAGCTTAGGTCAAAAACCTATGGGTTATCTTGTTTTTTTCTTTCTCCTTGCTCCGCTCCCCACATCCAACCCATCACAGGTCCTGTCAGCTTTGCATTCCAAATTCATGCAGCCTGAACCTGACCCTTTCTATCCATCTCCACTGCCTTCTCCCTAGTAACCCCCATCTCTCACGTGGATGGCTCCAACATCCTCCGGCCTTGCCAGCTTCCATCCTTCATCCCTAGAATTGATTCTCCACACAGGCATCAGAGGGATTCTCAAAGAGCAAATTATATTGTGTTTCTTCCCTGCTTAAAATTCTCCCAAGGCTTCCTCCCTGGGCTGGACTCTTGTTGTTTCCTTGAACTCCTCAAGCTTTTTCCTGCCTTAAGGATTTTGCATTTGCAGTTCCCTTCCCTGGAATCCTATTCTCTTCAGATCTTTCCATTCCCAGCTCTTTCGGGATAATACATGTGCCGGTTTAAATGTCCCCTCCCAAGGAAGCCTTCTTTGACTTCCCAAACGAAAGTAGATTCTACCTCAGCTTCTCTCTATTACAGTAAGTTGTTTTACTATCTTCAGATCATGATACAATTATCATTTCCTTTTCTTGTTAACTGTCTCTCTTCCTCCACTAGAATGTAAGCATCATGACAAGTATGGATTCATCTTACAAATTTATCTTACAGATCTATCCTCAGCACCTAAAATAATTCTTGGCATATAGTAGTTGCTCAAAAATATTTGTTGAGTGAATGAATGAATATATAATTGCATAGATTTGCCTCTGTGATAAAATACCTCACCACCAATTTATATATATGCATGTATATAAATGTGTGTTTGTGTGTGTGTGTATGTGTACCCGTATGTATATATGGGCACGCACACACACACACACATATATGTTAGCTTGTTAGCACCCTCAACATCTTCAATCTTTGAAGAAGAAAAACCAAGAACATGCTCAAGGGAACCTAAATGGTGCACCCCATTTATTTTAACCTCATCAGTGGAACCAGAATGGGGTTATCAATAGATAACTGCTGCTCTTCCAGCCCTGAATGGTCTGGCTTCTATTTATTTCTTCTTAGAAAACTATTTTCTTCTTTTCCCATATCTTTGCTTGTTGAGTTATAACCTGGAAGAGGGTAGATTCCACTGTTCATCCGGGGTGACCAGAAACCGACTGGCCACCAGCCACGTGAAAGCCACCTCACTCCCATGCATATTCCAACAACTAGACACTCAGCACCATAGGCAAAGCTGTGAATGGGGCTAGGTTGGTTTTGCTGCCCTTTTCCATCACCCGAGCACTGTCTACTCTTCCTAAGGAAGCAGTGTAGGAAGAAGAGGGTGATCAACAGAGTCTTACCAAGGTTTTAGAGGCACGAAGAGTTACTGCAAAACAGAAACATTTACAGTTTTTAAACTTAAGGATGGAGCAATGCTGAAGCAATTAAAAAAACACACACACTTTAAGGACATTTCAAGCCCTGTCAAATGTGGGTGGAAGAGATATTCATGGGCATGAGCAGGAGGAGGGTGGATTCTTTGGCACATCTCAGTTGGATGATGTCATGCTGGCTACTACCTACTCTCCTGGCTTGGTCCGTAGGGAGAGGACAGGGACCCACACTGAGCCTGTTTCCCTCCTGGCAGTAAGGGTGCAAAGGGATAGACAGAGAGCAGTGATACAATAATGGAAGTGGTGGCTGGTTGATATGGAGAAGAAGGGAGAAGAAGGAAAGCAGATGGGCACCATTTGAATCAGGAGAGTTGTCAGTAGCATGAACCACTAGGAATCAGATTTGGTAGGGAGATGATGCTTTACGGTTCAGAAGCTTTCATTGTGTGTTACTGATGGAACTCACACTTGGAGTTGTCCAGGAGGCCTTGGGGAGCTTGAGAGCAGAGCTTCTGCATGCAGTTTTAGATACCCCAGCCCCACCCCCAGCTAGACTTGGAATTCTGTGCCTTTGGTTTCTTTTTTCTTTTCCTTCCTTCCTTCCTTCCTTTCCTTTGCTTCATTTCTCTTTCCTTCTCTTTCTTCCTCCTGTCCCTTCTCTTTCTTTCTCCTTCCTTTTTCTCCTTCCCTTCTTCTTTCTTCCTCTTTTAAAATATTTTACCACTCCATAGTCTCTTCAAGGTGCATGGTAGGTGATAAATATCCAGTGGGTTAAGTGTTGTGCTTTATTTTGCTGTATGATAGTAGGAGTGGAGGGAAAAAAAAAACACGTTTAAACATGAGGCATCCAAAGACACTTAAAACCTAACAAATACAGTATCCCCCTATTATTCACAAGGGATGATCCAGGACTTCCAGTGGCTGCCTGGAGCCACAGATGGTACTGAACCCTATGTATACTATGCTTTTTCCCATATGTACATACCTATGATAAAGTTTAATTTGTATATTAGGCACAGTAAGAGATTGACAGTAATAACTAATAACAAAATAAAACAATTATAACAACAGGTTGTAATAAAAGTTATGTGAATGCGGTCTCTAGCTCTCTCAAAATATCTTAGCGTACTGAAGGTCTTAGTGACCTCAACATACGATTTTTTTTTCTTTCCTCATTAAGTCAAGAACTTTTACCTTTTCACTTAAAGGAAGCACATTACAGCTTCACTTTGGTATATAGAATTGCCAGCATCACTACTCTTGCACTTTGGGGCCATAATTAAGTAAAATAAGGGTCCCTTGAACACCAGCACTGGGATACCACAACAGTAAAACTGATAGCCAGGGTGCCGACTCAGTGACTCACGGGGATGTGGTGGAGGTAGTGGATATAGCATGGAGACACTGGACAAAGGGGCAATTCATGTTCTGGGCAGGATGGAAGCAGGACACCTCTGGATGTTATCAGAATGGTATGTAATTTACAACTTATGAATGCTTTGTTCTGGAATTTTTCCATTTAATATTTTTGGACCACTGTTGACTGTGGGTCACTGAATTGCAAAAACTTAAACTGTGGATAAGTGGGGACTACTGTAAGTGCAAACCATCAGGACTCAGGCTAGTGGCTTTAAGATACTGTCAATTTTTATGCTGTATCTCAGGAAAAAATAAGACAACCTTCCAGTTGCCACAGACATGTACTGTGAGCAGACATCCTCTTAGTACTTCTTAACTGGCTCTTCTGGAAAATCCTCACACTCTCATCAGTGAATAGTATGGCTTTTCTTTTTCTTTTTAGATAGTGAGAAGAGAATTCAGAGGATTTGGTGCCTTTATCCTTCCTCATCATCTCTTTGTTGGTGTTTCTCTCTTTTTTTGTTTTAACTAATTTATTTTTCTTTCAGAGAACATGTATTTTTAACCTGGGTCACTGTAACCTGAGTTTTTCAAACTGTCCTTCAACCTGTTGAGTTTTTTTCGCATGAGACTTTAAGTTCTTCTTTTGCCTTGCTTTACTTTCCACATTTCTCAACCTGAACTTGATACTTTACCTTCTGATTTCTTTGCTGTGCTGCTTTTCCTTGTCTACCCAGGACTAAAAAGACTAGGAGTGTGAAATAATTGATCATGCGGTTAATTTAAATCACCTTAGCCCTCTACCTAACCCCCTTTGCCTCACTTTTCCTTCCGTGGAAGGACAAAGTATATTTGTTGCTGTTGCTACATAAGGACAATTTCAGTGGTTTACAACAACACATATTTATTATTTCACAGTTTCTGTGGGTCGGAGCCTGGGCATGGCTTTACTAGATCCTCTGTTTTGGGATTATTCTGAAAGTGGCAATCAATATGTCAGCTGGGGCTGCAGTTGCATCTCAAGGCTCAGTTAGGGAAGGTTCACTTTCAGGCTCCCCTGATTGTTGGCAGAATTTACCTCCTTTCAGTTTGTTAGACCGAGGGCCTCAGTTTCTTACTGGCTCTTGAACAGAGGCACCCTCAGCTCCCTGCCAGGTGGGCCTCCCCAATATGGCTGCATGCTTTATCAAAGCCGGCCAGAGAAAGCCTCTCCTAGCAAAACTGTATAACCTGATCTATGAAGTGACATTTGGTCACCTTTGCCATGTTCCATGGGTGGGCAGCGAGTCAGGTCACAAGTTCTGCACACACTCAGGGGCATGGACACCAGGGGATGGGGATCATCATGTGTCATCTTAAAGTTTGTCCACACATTGAGGAATGCTTTTGTAAAAAAATGCTTGGACTCCTAGAAAAAAATGGTGAATCCCATACTCATACTGCATTCATGTCTTTTTGTAGGCCTTTATGGCTAATGTTAAAATAATAATTTTTCAGGCCTGGTGCGGTGGCTCATGCCTGTAATCCCAGCACTTTGGGAGGCTGAAGTGGGCAGATCACCTGAGGTTGGGAGTTTGAGACCAGCCTGACCAACAAGGAGAAACCCTGTCTCTACTAAAAATATAAAAATTAGCCAGGCAGGTGCCTGTAATCCCAGCTACTCAGGAGGCTGAGGCAGGAGAATCCCTTGAACCCAGGAGGCTGAGGTGTGGTGAGCCAAGATCGCCCCATTGCACTCCAGCCGGGGCAACAAGAGCAAAACTCCATCTCAAAAATAAATAAATAAAATAAAATAATAATTTTTCCTCTTGTTTTTTTTTTTTTCCCCTTGTCCTATGAATTAGGTTTTCTTTCTAAAAATGACTTGTTTTTCTTTTCTGCCGTTAGAAATCTCATCAGCCTCTCTGGTTGAGAAAGTCAGCAGGAACAGATTGTTTCTCCTCTTGGTTTTGAATGGACTGACTCACCACTGTGGGCAGCTGAGAAAGGAAAGGCCTTGCAAATGCTCTCTAGGTCTTTGTTGGAAATCCCTCTGCCCCAGAGGAGCCAGGTATGGGCCAGGCGTGGTAATAGCCACAAGCAAGATGCCAGGACCATTTAAGGCTGAGACATTTAATTAGGCACAATGTATTACTTTCTCAAAGTGTGTGGCAGCTTCATAGTATCTGCTTAGACATTTAGTGATTCCAGCTACCTACACAGATTGGCGGGGAATCAGGTGGGGGGCGGTTCTAGAAGCCTAGCTGCACCTTTGGTTTGATCCGTGTTTGACTCATGTTTGTAAATTGTCTCTACAATAAAGACTGAGGGATAACTTCAGCCCCTAATAGATTTTTTAAAGGTCTCCTTATGTTGCTCAGGCGGTATCAAATTAAATCCTTCCGCCTTGGCCTCTCAAAGTGTGGGGATTACAGGCCTGAGCCACTGCGCCCAGGAGATGTTATTTCCATATTCATTCTTTTACTTGGAGGAAAAACTGTTTTTATTACATATGATGTGTTATATATATAAGGACCAATATCTCTAACTTGAAAATCTCTTTAAAATCATAGTGTATATGATCATGAATGGAGGGATGCAAGCAAATCTGATCTTTCAGCTTTTTCCTGGGGGTAAAGGCCCAACGAGAGGAAAGTGGAGACCGGTAAAGGGGGTGTTAGGAACCCGAATCCTGAGTCCCAAGAAAGTCTCCAGGTTCAGCAGCTTCAGCGAGGCTGAACTTCCCTCGAGGTGCCAGGCAGGCATTGCCCGGAGCAGAGTTGCTCAGCAGGCTCAAAGTAGGGGTTCCTCACCCCGGGAGGGGCGCTAGGACCCAGGCACCCGCCGGCCTGGAGACGCGTCTGGAAAGTGAAGGCGCGCAGAACCTCAGGCTCGCCGCAAGAGTCCCACAGAGCGACCAGACCCTTCACGTGGGCACGAGACCCGGGGAGCGGGGTGCAGGGTGCGCCAGGCCGGTGCCCTCTGTGCCGGGCTGCGGCGCCGGACACGGGCACCACCGGGGCGCCCAGCTGCTGCCCGCCGCCGGCATGGACCAGCTACGCTGCCCGCCGAGCGCGCACCAGGTGAGTCCCCAGCGTGGGGTCGGCTGCCTCCTCGCATCTGGGCACCCACCTGGCCGCTGGGCAAGCCCGGGTGCGCAGGCACAAGCCCAGAGCCCGCTCCAGGGTCCCCTTTCAGACACTCCAGTGCCAGGGTGCCTTTTTTTCTTTTCTTTTCGTCTTTAGTCTCTGCGTGTCCTAGAGCCAACTCCCTCCTTCCTTCCCAGGCGGGAAGCACCTCGAGTGTCTAGTGTAACCGTCTCGTTTATCATTCCCAATAATAATTGACCACAGACAGCCGCCGTTGGCATCTACCTGGCACTTGGCCTCATTGGCAGAGCTTCCCTGCAGGAGTCCGACCTGTTTCTCTGTTGGGCCGGCTCCGCGGGCTCCTGTTGCGCCTGTTGTTTCCCACGCTTCCCTGGCGCGGGCCGCTGGGGTCCCTGCTTTCCTCCTCGAGCTTCCAGTGGCTGCGAAGCTGCCTCGCCACTCGGGTAGTGAGTCGCAGCCCCAGCCTGGGGGGTGTGTGTGTGTGTGTGCGTGTGTGTGTGTGTGTGTGTGTGTGTGCACGCGCGCTTCAATGCCTGTCTCTGGTGCTCGGGACTCCAGACTGGGGCACCCACCCC